CCCTGTGGGTCGTGGACCCCACGTTGAGTAACACCGCCTAATACCATAAACGCATCGAATAAAAATCATAAAACAAAAGGAGACATAATATGCTTTCAACAACGTGGGCCTCCCTTTGTGAAATTGCAAAACTGGGACAAAATCATATTTAATTTTAACAATAAAATACAATACAATACAAAACAAATCCGTTTACATTATGAACTGTGACGGTAGAACGCGTCGGAAACAAAAGATTTTACGATAAACATCTTTCTGTGTGACGGTTAAAATAACATTTTATTAATCCAACATATAAAAAAAGAGTTACCAAAAGAGTTACATTTTTTTTATGCAACTTAGAATGGCAAACAAGCTGACGGCCCACCTGATGGAAAGTGGTAACCGTCGCCTATAGACATGAGCAGTACCATGCACATAACAGAGTGTACTGTTTCGCCCATGTTCTACAATGTTCTACAATGAGTTCTACAATGGACATATAACAGTGGGATATTTAACACTCATTGAATTCCATTTGTTATTAAATAAAAAAAGAAAAGAAATTAAAACACATTAATAAAAAAATTAAGGAGCACTTACTTTTATAAATTGATTATAAATAGACGCAAATTGAATGGCCGAACCATCTGGATCACACAAAACTCATTACATAATTCTCCTTCAAAAAATCCTTTACCAGTCAACCCTAATGGGTAATCCTCTACTATTCAGCAGAACATGAAATTACGAATACCTTTGATTACACAATTTCAAAGGGAAATATTTGTTTGATTAGCAAAGGGTTGCCAAATTAAGTCTCATAATTAAAATTGGACCCGACCTTAGAATTATCAGAACCTACTGTATTTTAGGGACGATAAGCTTTTGAGAGTCATAGACAGACTGGAAGTGTCTAATATTTTTTTTAATATTTTACAAATATATATATATATATATATATATATATATATATATATATATATATATATATATATATGCTTTTTTTGCTTTTTCAATGTATAAATAATATACATGTGTGTGTGTGTGTGTGTGTGTAATAAAAAAAAGTGCTCGGGTATTTTATAGGTATATATATATATATATCGAGGTACATAAATAATATTTGAAAATATAACTGATTATTTGATTAGGATTATAATCGTATTGTCGTATTTAATGGTCGAAAATTAATCAGAAACAGTTTGAATTCAAAACGGTTAACAATAGGCTTCGAATAAGGTCTGATAATTTGTCTGAAGATGCCTCGTTTAGAAGTGGAACACGCGTTGCAAAACGTGCGTGAACGAAATGGCGGTCGGAGATTGATGGCTATTATGGAAGGCTGTGAACTTCTGGTTGTAATAATAGTGGACAATCTTCGAGTCACTCACACACATACTAATTGTAGCAGATGTAAACACAATCATTTTATTCAATTAACTAGTGATATGGATTTCCGCAAGACAACACCTACTTGAGTAAACTATTTGGAAAAAGATTAGGTTTTCTTGACAATCACTCTAATCACTTGATTGTCAATCTAAGATACTTTGTGCAAAGAAAAACCAGCTTACGAACATCTAGAGGCACAACCCAGACCCGAGTCAAATTAGAAAAGATTATTTCTTAAATTAACTCGACCGAAATCGAACGTGAGACCTTATTATGCAAAAAGTGCTTACCGCTGCGACACAAAGTCATCATTTGTAAAAGACAAATATATATATATATATATATATATATATATATATATATATATATATATATATATATATATATATATATATATAAATAAAAGATAAATAAATAAATATATTCTATATATACTTACATAGTAATTAATTTATTCTTATTTACGAAGGTATAGCCACAAATAACAGCTAGTAATGTAATATTATCCACATACATAAACGTATGTTCAATTTAAATTAACGAAGCCTCATTTCCTTTGTAGCAAAACTGTAATACAATTCCAACAAGGCGTAAATTTAATTACTATCTATTCTGAAATCTCGCTTACTTGTTAATTAATACAAACTTATTGATTTATCTACACGAAGAGAGGCGATAACTTAATAAGATAACGCATGACTGCGTTCCAGGTATCCCGACATCAAATTTCAGAATAAACTTCCGATTTTGAAAATCATATTTGGATTATTTATAATTTAAAATTGTTCTACAAAAAAAAACTGACTACTATGACTATGGCAATAGCAATTATTATTTAAAAGATTTTGGTAAAATTTCTTATGGACTGTGTTTTTTTATATTTTTTTTTTTTTTTTTTTTATACTACTTAGAATGGCAAACAAGCTGACGGCCCACCTGATGGAAAGTAGTAACCGTCGCCTATAGACATGAGCAGTACCATGGACATAATAGAGTATACTGTTTCGCCCATGATACCCCCCATGCGTTGCCATTCCTGAGGACTCAGGTGTTATTCCTCTGTACCCAGTAAATTCACGCCATATCCCATCCTTCAAACCGAAACACAGTTATGCAAACACAACTGCTTCACGAGGTGGCAAACAAGCATACGGTCCACCTGATAGCAAGCGGTTACCGTAGCCTATGAACGCCTGCAATACCAGAGGTATTACGCGCGCGTTGCCGACCCTGAAGGAATCTCTTTACCTCCCTTTTGAAGAACCCCATGCTGTAGTCTCTTGGGAAAACCTCGGCAAAGTGAAGATTATTCACCTTGTCACTGGATTAGATTTGCACACTGTGCTATAACATCTAACCATGCGTATTGCTTCCGCGATCCCGACTGTCACTTACCATCTGACGTATATACCCTTGTGTATATACACTCGAGACTATGTAAGTGTTGTCATACACTGCAGGGATCAATCTGTAAGTATATCCCTTTCACTTTAAGAAGAATGAGATTTTCAATTTGGTTATATTTTTTTTTACGTTTAATAATACCTCATAACTGCGTCATTTCTAAACCGATTTGGGAAATTATTCTTTTTATCCGAAACGGTATATTTATCTTTTTATTCATTAGTACAAATATGTGTACATGGCGGACTTAATACTAAAAGCATTCTCTCCCAGTCAACCATAGGGAAGTGTCAGAATACTCGAATGCGAGACTAGTAATTGATATACATACATACTAAAATTACATATATAAACGAATAAATATATATGAATAACAAATATACTTACACATATATATAACATATACTATATTATACACGAAATTGAGAATAATATAAAGTATATATTAGTCCCATAGTAATCTTATTAAATAAAAATAATTGAGTTCAATAATTGAGTTTTTTAATCAAAATACTGGTTTTTCACATTTGAAATGTTTTTTTTTTTTTGTGAGACATAATTTTTAATTATTTATTATAATGCAATCATTTACATAATATATAATTGTTACAATCTTATTATGAAGAGTAAGTACATGAATCCTGTTTAAACATAGCAAAATTTAATACAGGTATCTGGTTTGTACAATAATGTATATATTCGCACATACATTATTGTACAAACTTTTCCTTTTATGAAATTGAATGAATGAATAAGTATGTTTTATTTGCATTATACAATATAGGATATAAGCAAGACAATTAACAAATATAACGATACAATTGTATAAGTACAGTGAGGCGGTCTTATTGCTGAGAGCAATCATTTTAAAACAACCTTTGGGTAATGGACTAATTGTTGTACATGTAGGTATAATGATATTGTATCATTAAGAAAGTAGCTTTATCAGTATAAAAAAAAAAAAAAAAAACTAAATGATTAACGATGTACAATATATAATCCTATATATAAAAATTATATCACAGTACGCTTCCGTGACACTTCCATTCGATGTAAATCGCGGTCGATTCGGGCGAATATTAAAATGATTCTGTCCAAAATCCGAAGGTTGGGTTTACGTATTTTATTTCGGTACACCTCCCGGTTATGATATATTGTATCGACTATTGCCCACCTTTGCTCGTATTAGGGTCCGGTCTATACGGGTACGGAACCGTTAATGAGCGTGGATTAATTAATAATTTTTTTCCTTGATACTTTATATTAATGTAGTTAGCTACCGACTTCAAAAATGATGGAGCTACTCAATTTTATTGTATTTTTAAACTAACTAAAGAAAGTTCTCATGTTGTATGTATTTTTTCTATGTTTTGTTATCTCAGTATTCCTTCAGTTACAAATTGATTTAAAAAATTCTTTTTTATTAGTGTTCACAGAAGGGCCAAATTAAAAGTACTCGTAACCGGCGAGCGTGTATGAAAAGATTGATGAATGTGGAAGAAGCGAAAGAGGTTTGTTTGAATCGAAGCATTTGGCGTTCCATTGTTTCTGCCTACCCTAATGGGAGACAGGCGTGACAGATATGTATGTATGTCTGTATATATTGGTCCCATAGAAGTTTTATGAAAATCTGTTCAGTATTTTAGTTTTTAAATCAACATAAACGATTTTTTTACAATTAAAGTCGCTTTTTGTGAAATCTTTAATTATTTTTAATATAATTTGAGCTAGTTCTCATGAATAGCAACGAATGAGAAATATTATAGGCAGAACAGTATACTCTGTTACATCAATAGTACTGTTCATGTCTATAGGCGACAGGTATTACAGACGTTCATAAGCTATAATGACCACTTACAATAAGGTAGGTTGTATACTTGTTTACCAATTTAATATTAGAGGGAGACTTTGTACAAAAGTTGATTGCTTGGGTACCTCTGTCCCATTCGTGTTTCAACCGTGAAGCGGTTGTGTTTGCATGGCTGTGTTTCGGTTTGAAGGGTGGGATATGGCGTGAATTTACAGGGTACAGAGGAATAATACCTGAGTCCTCAGAAATGGCAACGCACGGGGGTATCGTGGGCGAAACAGTATACTCTGTTATGTCCATAGTACTGCTCATGTCTATAGGCGACGGTTACCACTTTCCATCAGGTGGGCCGTCAGCTTGTTTGTCATTCTAAGTTGTATAAAAAAAATATACATAAAAAAAAATAACTTACCACCCAAAACGGCTACGACGTTCCACATTTTGACACGAACAACTATTATTATCCACGCCAGCCGTACTGCACATAATTTGGTTCGAGTTAAATGTTAATCACCGGCACATGTTTCACTAAATCCGACACTAAACACTTTGTCACTACGTCACCAACACTATGCGAGTGTTACGTCACTTTTGTCATTTTTAAACAAGTGCGCGACGTGGCGTTCCGTTCCGGCGCTCGTGGATCTGAAAAGGAAAATATTTTTATTAAAATTATTTATTATAATTATATTTTATTATAATTATATTTTAAAAACAAAACAAAATCCATATCTGCACTCTTAAGGAGAGGAGATGGTAAACTAACCCCCGGCAGAAGCACAGTCGGCCGGGGTTGAGGACCTTAGGGAGAGAAACCGGCGTACAATGCGGGCCGAATCTAAGAGCACCGCTTTCTGCATTTTTCCCGGGAGTGAGCCGCCTCGGAATCCCAACCGTCTGAGATGTTGTTCCAGACTGGTTGGGATAAGACCGTTCACTGACAAAACGATTGGAATGATTTCGGTGGATGTAAACCTCCAAATTTCGGTCACCTCGAGAGTCAAGTCGGTATATTATCTTATAAACTAATTAAATAAATAAAAAATAAATGAGTATTAACTCTATTAAGAAATAAAAGTAAAACCTATACACATATTTTAACTGGAGGAAAGGGATCATTAGCAATAGGGTTTAATTGTCCCATTTGCTAGCAACACATTATTTATTTATCTAATATATAAAATTCTCGTGACGCGGTGTTTGTTACCAAACTCCTCCGAAACGGCTTTACCGATTTTTAGGAAACTGTGTGCATATTATGTAGGACTGAGAATCGGCCAACATCTATTTTTCATACCCCTCAATGATAGGGGTGACCCACCCCTAAATATATTCTTACTTTTTTATCATTTTTTTTTTAATTTTATTATGATTTAGCATTGAAAAATACATACAAATTCAAATTTTCACGCTTTTATCAACCCCTGTTGTTTAATCGAAATTTTTATATGCCACAATAGGTTTGCAAGATGACAATCGAATATAATAATTGTAGTATAATATATTTCCATGTACAGTTCTAGAAATACTGTATATGGTAAAACAACGTTTACCGAGTCAGCTAGTTTATTTATAAAAAATACAAAAATAAATTTATTTTACACTTATGAAGTACAAAAAGCGGTATTATCGCTAAAGCAATCTCTTCCAGACAACCTTTAAGTAGAGAAGAAAAGATAAAAGACGTTTGATATTTGGCGCTGGAAATGTATTTTTTTATACAACTTAGAATGGCAAACAAGCTGACGGCCCACCTGATGGAAAGTGGCAACCGTCGCCTATAGACATGAGCAGTACCATGGACATAACAGAGTATACTGTTTCGCCCATGATACCCCCCATGCGTTGCCATTCCTGAGGACTCAGGTGTTATTCCTCTGTATCCAGTAAATTCACGCCATATCCCACCCTTCAAACCGAAACACAGCCATGCAAACACAATTAATTTACGTATATGTTTGCTTTGTATTTAAAACAAGTTTACTATTGTAATATAATATCTAATGAAGGAAACAATAAAGAGTATCTATCTGTTAGCAAGGATTTCGTCACTGTCTATCCAATTGAAAAATGTTAGCAAACGAAAAGGACAGAAGATTCCATTAACAAAGTTTATAAGTTGATGTTTGTATGAATAACATATTAGACAATAATGTGACCACACATTCGTTATAAACGTGGATACATTAATATCGTGTTTAATACGCACGTGGGCTGTTCTTTTATCTAATAAAGTAAATTCTTTAATAATTTTAAATAAATTAACATAACAAAATGAATGGAACGGGTCTCGCCTAAAGCAACAATGGATGTGTGTCTCTAATTTTAGAGTTTTAATCGGTATCGAATATAAAAGAATTATATTGCAATACAGCTTCTAAACTAACAATTTTAACCGACTGCAAAAAGAACGAGATTCGAATTTCGGTTGTATTTTTTTTTTTATTTTGTTACCTCAGAACTCAAGCGGTAATAGTTTTTTTTACAACTCAGAATGGCAAACAAGCTGACGTCACACCTGATGCGAAAGTGGTAACCGTCGTCTATAGACATGAGCAGTACCATGAACATAACAGAGTATACTGTTTCGCCCATGATACCCCCTATGCGTTGCCATTCTCGAGGACTCAGATGTTATTCCTCTGTACCCTGTAAATTCACGCCATATCCCACCCTTCAAACCGAAACACAGCCATGCAAACACAACTGCTTTACGGTTGAAACACGAATGGGACAGAGGTACCTAAGCAATCAACTTTTGTACAAAGTCTCCCTCTGGTGATATAATATGAGTATGATCTGAGAATAAAATAACAAGGAGTGATGGATTTTTAGTACTGGGAACTAACCGAACCATTGCTAAGGCTTAATTTACCAGGTCGACCTCTATTTAGTTCCACCTAAAAACCATCATGGTTAATTTCTGTCGACTGCGTCCCCATAAGCTAACTGGCCCGACTTCTTATTCCTTCACACTTCATCCTTCATTAATACCTCGCCAGCATACTTACATGCTTTACATACAATACATATATACACACATACATAGGGGGGAAAGAGATTGTTAACAATGGAGACTGAATCCCATTGCTAGCAATATACCCAATCAGGTCGACCTCTTCGTGGTTCCCCCTTGAAACTATCATTGTTAATTCCTGATGAATTCATCATGATGGGCTAACTGGCCTGTTTTCATTCTCATCGATCACCCTTCACTGGTGCTCCGCCAGCGTATCCCGTTAGCGCAGGCGGGGTTACTATACCATTTTCACCCATCAAAAAAGAACACACATACATTACATATATTTCGATTAAAATTAGTATAATCGAAATCGGTTCAGAACTTCCGAAGATATCGAGTGACATAAAAATATACAGTCGAATTAACCATCCCCTTGTTTTTCAAAATGACAGAAAAAATAACTGTACGATCAACGTTTTTATCAGACGTCATAAAAAAATATTGCATTAATTGTTTGTTTAGGCCCAAACTGCGAGTCACGGTTCCGTTTAACAACGTTAGGTATACGGCGGCCGTTAAAACTTTATTGTTTTCCATCGTTCTATTTAACTGCTGTTAAGTTACATTTACTGGTTACGCACATATTTTTTAACCGACATCGGTAAGAGGAGGTTTAGACTTATTTGTTTAAAGACTCAAAAGACCAGATTGGAGTCTCTTGTTAGATGATTTAAATGGTTTTCATTTATTGTGTTTATTTTTGGTATTATTATGGTAGCTTTTACCAGCGACTTTGTCTGCACGACCGGGATATGTTTCCAGAACGGAACTAAAAGTAGCCTAGTATAGTCATATTGCCGGGTGGTCCCGGCGTAGATTAAGCCATCTTTTCCTTTCTCGTGGATGTCGTGGCAACTAAATGTGGGCGCAGGATAGACAGCAGAGTCCCTTTTAAAATATCTCCAAAGCCTAACTGCGGTCGCCAATCCACTTGCCAAGCGTAGCAACTACTGGCTTAACCGTCCAAGGCTTATTTCCAACAGTGGACAGTTAAAAACTGATATGATGATGACAGTAGTCACACTCATAATTGTTAGTAAATATTTATTTATTTATTTATATATATTGTTGGTGAGCTTTACAGATTTACCAATGCACTCATTAAAAACTAAAATATACCACTAAATATGTAGCAATTACTTATATTTCCAATTTTTCTTTTCAATTAATATATTAATTAATATTAATTAAGGAGGGGGAGAGGGAGACCGAGACATAGTTACATCAGACAGATCAAGGAAGGAGTTGGTGTCGTGTCGTATCAAGAGGTGAAGAGACTCGCTGCAAATCGTAGTGAGTGACAAGAGCTCCACCGACAAGAGCGCAGCTCTTAAATAGGATAGATAGATAGAATTAATATAATTAAAGATTGTGTCTCACAAAAAAAACTGCCTTCAATTGTTATAAAAAGTGAAAAAGAATCATCAAAACAGTTTGAGAAATGAGAATTAATGACGTCATCGTATATAATGGAGTTTAATATACAAAAAAAAAAATGAGAGATTTCTTCTTTTAAAAGTTTGTTAAAGAAAAACTTAATTATAATAACTTATTCGTATCATATCTGTTTTGAATTTAACAAAAAAAATGTACAAAATTTATGGTTTACAAGAGATGGGATTATATAGCTGGAGATTATGCCGCGTGGTCCCGGTATAGAATGGACCACCCCTTCCTTTCCCGTGCGTGCCGTATGAGGCGACAAAGAGAGAGCGAGTGATGGGCCCCGTGTCAAAATATGCGACATTAATGGAGTATAAACGGCCGTATCTTTTGACTGCGTCGATTTAGAAGCTGGATTTTTTCAATTTTTTTTTTATACCACTGAGGTGGCAAACAAGCATACGGCCCACCTGATGGTAAGCGGTTACCGTAGCCTATGAACACCTGCGATACCAGAGGTATTACGCGTGCGTTGCCGACCCTGAAGAAACCTCTTTACCCCCCTTTTGAAGAACCCCATGCTGTAGTCTCTTGGGAAAACCTCGGCAGGGAGCTCATTCCATAACCTGAGTGTTCGTGGGAGAAAGCATCTCTGAAACCGCGTTGTACGCGACCATTTAGGCTCTAAGGTATGAGGGTGAACTCCCTGTCGATGGCGAACCGTACGACGATAGAAAGTGGCCGTAGGCATCATATTGAATAATTCCTCTGAGCACAATCCGTATAAGCGCTATCCGTTCACTGCTTCAAAAGATTACAGACCTGGGTATATGATATTAATTTCAACTTGATACCTCCACGCGTTCCTAAGAAAAAGGGTCTTGCAACAACGTGTTCTTATAAGGGTTTCATTTTTACCTTTTGAGGTACGGAACCCTAAAAATGATCATATAATTTTCTGTCTCTTATAAAACATACAGCCGGACAATCTAAAAGTATATATTATATAATTTATCTTGAAATCAAATGTCATAGTAGAGATAGTATCATTATTAGAGAAATTTTTGAAGATCGTAAAAGGAACGCATTAATGTGGATGATAAAATTGATCTTAGGTCTTGAGGGTAGTAGTAAAACCGACTTAGTATGTTCAGATAGGCTGACCACACTTTTCTTCACAACTTGGGACAGCAAACAAGTTGATGGTACACTTCATGGAAAGTAAACATCGTCTGTGGAC